GATCAGTTGGTGTGAGAAAGGCATCAGTTCACAATTTCTAGCTCAGTGAGGAGTTTCTTCAAATTTTAAGGTCCATGCTGTATACTGCTGACTGAGACTGTTAAAGGCTGGCTGAATGACCAGGCAGCAATGTTCTTCAACAGGGATATACAAAAGCTTGTGTCACGGTATGATGTCTGCCTGAATTGACAAGACAATTATGTGGACAATTATATGGAAAAATAGGTCAAGACTGTAAGTACCTTTTACAAACAAAGTGGTTTTGTTCTTCAAATATACCTGCAACTGTCGTAAATGATTGGGCTATATTCATTCTAGTTTTTTTTTTCTGGGTTGTCGGAGAAAAATAATCCTCATAAACAGAATGAAGTGGGGAACAAACTTTAAATTTTATGCAACAGACATTTTCTCTTTTAATCTGATTTTGACCAAGCCCATTACAGGCAATATTCAAGTGAATTATCTTAGTAGCTATGTCACTTAATTTGTTCACATAACATTTGGATATACAGTACAGTTTGAAACTGTTGGAACCAATCCCTAACTATCCTACTTCCTATTAAGTTATATCTTTCATTCTCCTGTATGCATTATTAAATCAAATTTAGGTGACTCATTGATCAAGTTGATTCACTTAAGTAGTAAACTAAAGTGCAAAATACACCGAGATGAATATAAAAAGTGCAACTCATATTCAAATGTTAACTGCCAGCCTGTTTTGGGTTAAAAAGGAAGCCTGAAGAAGAATCCAGAAGGGGTTATGAAAATGTTCATTACTCAAATGTTAATCGTATTCACAGTGGTTAATTGATTAATGTGAGTTGCACTTTTTTTTTCACTTAAGTAGCTTCTGATGACAGGCTTGTTGTCTAAAAGTACATGAGAAACTGTTATTTGAGCAAGCTCCAATAAAACAGTTTTTTTTGTCATATTTTAAAGAAGTTGGAGTTGTTTTCATTGTTATTTTTGTTTTTAACACATAAACTAAATTTTTTACTGAATATATCATGATCAAGATGATTTTAAACATATGGAATATGTTCAAAAATTCAATGTACCATACTTTTTTTTGTACCAATTTCAAAAATTTTCATTATAAATAATAATCTAATAATGACTTAAGGAGATACTTAACATTAATATAATACTGGTAAAAATTGCTGTATTATTTTAATATTGAAGGAAAATAAAATCAAAATTACAAAACAAGCTTCCTTTTTGATAAAAACAACTTTGTTCTGTTTAATTGCTGGATGGAGATAAAATTGTTTTATCAATAAGTACTGACCAAAAAGAGTGTTTTGTAATTTTGATTTTATTTTTCCTTGATGTTAAAATAATTTAACATCAAAAGACAATATTTATCAGCATTTTTATCCATACTGATGACTTTAAATGCAACATTTTAACAATATTTTAAGAAACTAATATTTTAACTTATTGTTGGGATAGTGGGTAGTCTGCCTGTAATAAGGCACATTTGATGATGGTGAATTTATTTAAGGCTGTTATTGAGTTTAAGTTATGTGCTCTGTAAATATGCAAACTAATAGCCAAGTTTGTGTACCTATTAGGATTAATGGATAACTGAAAAGGAACAATAAAAGGTAGTAATTTAAACTCATGGAAGCAAAGCATATTATCAGTCTGTTCAGTAAACACATCTAGAAAATGATAATATATACCACTGTCTGTCATATGGGAATCCCTTTACATTTCAACAATGTCACCATGCAACTTCCACTCTAGATATACCAGAGTTGTGTATTGTGCTGTTTTATCTTCTAAAGTTGTAGATCACATGGTTCCCATAAAACATCACATAGTGGCATTATGTTGCTATATGTTTATTATTTGTTTATTGACTGTTTTATTATTATTATTATTATTATTATTTATGTATTTTATTTTAATCCAATTTTATTTCCAATGTTTTTCTTTTACATATCATTGTATTTTTGTATTATTGTATAATTTTGTAAATTGCATGTGTATAATTAAATTTTCCATATGCATGCAGGACAAACAATTTAAAAAAAAGGTTACTTCATGTTTGGGTTCTTTTTCTTGAATGTTTTATTCTCTATGAACAATTTTCTTCCTGAAGAGGACAGTTATATATTGTCAAAAGTACTCTCAAAATAAATTATTTATATATAATGCAGTGGTATACAATATCTTTTTCTATTAATATTTGGTGTGTATAGCTGTTTAAAACTTTATTACAAACAGATCTAAAAAGGCAATGGTATTAGCAAGTGCTTTGGTTTCAAAATTAAACTTTATAGATGGAAAGATGTTATTTTATTTAAGATGTGGAAAAAGGCCAAAAATTCCTCAAGAACTATGCCAGGGAAAAAGTATGTCATCAACATAAGTAAGTCAAACAAAAGTATGTCATCAACATAAGTAAGTCAAACAAAAGTATGTCATCAACATTGATTACGTAATTCATTTAGTAATTTGCCTTAAACTAGCCTGATAGAATTTCGGCATTTGGCTGGTGTCTAGTTTTATAATATATCGGGTCCAGCGATGTTGTTTAAACATAAGTAAGGTATAGAAGAGAGTAATATTATTAATAATAATTTATTGTATAAAAATTATTATTGTAATGGACACAACAGGCTAGAATGCTTCAATTATTATAATAATTGAGGCAAAATTACAAAATTTTTATGATAAAATATATCATTTAATCAGTATTACATAAATGTGACTAGCAGTTAAACTGAAAGTTTTCCAACTTAGCTAAAGAATCTTATCTGTCACAGATGAGCAAATGAGTGGTTTTTATCAAGCATCAATCAATGTGGTATATATTCAGTTTAATTGTACATGTATACTCAATGATATGTGTTAATGTAATTGGTAGTAATTTGTAGATTGGCAGTAATAACTGACGATTATAAACAAATAACTTAATTTTTCTGATAGAAAATTATTTTCAGTAAATGTAATTGTATCTTTGATGAATTAATTTTTTATCATATTTCTTCAATTTAAGACATGCCATGATTTTGAAATCTAATACAGTATTAGGATTTTTTTTATGAGGAAAATTTTAAATCAGTTTTATTAAGTTTTGTTAAATAAGTTATAAAAACAATACAAATTCTGTCAAATAGGTAAGGTTCAGCAGCTCAGTTTCCATGTTCTCTTGCACATACAATGTAATTTTGATATTTCATTATATTGGGTTGTTCGGAAAGTAATTTCGTTTTTTTTACCACTAGACGGATTAGTCGTATTTTTCCTGCCATTTTCATTCTAAACCGTATTATCATTATATATTTTGACAGCTAGCATTTTAAGACTTATTTGTAAAAAATTTTGTTTGATTTTGTGCAATTGTTTATTTTTTGTGTCCCATCAAATATGAAGATTGAAAGCAGCATTTTCGGCATATTTTGCTCTTTTATTACCGAAAAGGTAAGAATGTTGTTCAAACGAGAAAAAAATTGTGAGACATGTATGGAGAAGATGTATTGACAGAACGACAGTGCCAAAACCGGTTTACAAAATTTCGTTCTGGCGATTTCGATATTGAAGATGCAGCACATTCTGGATGGCCAGTTGAAGCCAATGAAAAGAAAATAAAGGTACCGATTGAAGGAAACTGTCGAATAACAACACGTGAAATCACTAAGAGATTAAATTTGTCAAACTGAACTGTTTATGATTACTTCAAACAAATTGGTTTCGTTTCAAAGCTTGATATATGGGTTCCACATGTTCTTAAAGAGAGATCTCTTTGGTGGGATTTTAAGGAAATTTTTTTTTTTTGGAGCTTTTACAAGCTCCAATAAAAAATTTCCTTAATTGTAAATAAATTGTTTACTCGATGGCATCGAGTAAACAAATTGAGTAATATTATCAAACAGAAAAGGCAGCCAGAATTGATCAACAAAACAGGTGTAGTGTTTTACCACGATAATGTGAAATTTCACACAAGTTTGGTAACGCATCAGAAACTGTTATAACTTACTTGTTAGATGGGATGTGCTATCACACCAACCATATTCACCAGATCAAGCACACTCAGATTATTACTTGTTCTGGTCGATACAAATTTTTTTTTTAACTGTATGACATTTACTTGAAATGACAATGTCAAAAATCACTTGGATCAGTGTTTTGTAAGCAACGATGAAAACTTTTATGAATGTGAAATCATGCTACTACCAGAAATGATGACAACAGGTATTTGACCAAAATGGTTGATATATAATTCAATAAAATATTTATTTATTATAAAAATATTGTGGTTTTTTCCACAGAAAAAAAACGAAATTACTTTCTGAACAACCCAATATTATCTTGAAGACATTTTAAGTGTAAAATGAGCAAAAATTATTGTGATATTGTCACAATGCCATGCTGCAATTTTTAATCATATTTTTAATTAATTTAATTTAAAATATATGATCTGAATCCCAGATTATTAGTGTCTTGCCTGTATACATCATACTTTTCCTGACAACAACATTCATGCTGATTGTCTATGTAACTCTGTTCCGGGGAAAGTTTTGAATTGAAATTATGTGACTTCTGGTCCATACCAAAAGTTCATAAACAGTTAATTGGGGCCTTCTGATCTTAAGCTTTTCATATCTGGTCTCGACTTTCATCTATCTAAAATCATTCTTGAGAGTAAGGAAGGCAGACAGATGGATGACAGTGGAAATTTATAGGTTTACAATTTTTTCAAATTGCAACCCAAAAAGGAATTTAAATTAAACACTTAGTACTAGAAAAACTTGTTTGAGTGGGTATGACATTGAGCAGTATAGCCAAAGACATCAATTAGTGGAGAATAACATCATGTGGTCTACTTGCAATGACTGTTGATTGTTGTTTTGAATGATGAATGCAAGATGCATCTCTATTTTGTAAAAAATAGAGAAGTAAAAATTGGGTTTAAAAAAATGCATCTTAGAATTGTGGAAACAATGTATTACAATTTAGGAATAGCCAAACTTTTGCATTATTGAAAATTAATTTTAAAATTTTTCAGTTTTAGTATGGATTCAAGTAAATGTACTACAGCAGAAAGTACGCCAGTAAAGAGAGATGACACAAAAGGTCAGAAAATGCAACATGGGATGATGGCTTTAATACGTGTCAATCCATCTCAACAGACTTATGAGATAATTGAATGTGAAGATGAAAAGAAAAAATGTACTTTATCAGAATGCAGTGCCTCTCCTGTTGAAAGTTTAATTGAAGATGAACAAAATATGCAAAATCAGATGTTAACTGTTAGGTAATTGTTTGATACATATATATTTAGATTTAATTTCTTTAAAGAAACCAAAAATATTTTTTAAAATTTAGTGGTGAAGATTCAGAATGTGAACAGATATGGGAAATTCAAGATGAACTGAATACACTTGATAGTTTTTTTAGAGCACATGTTACTGCTTTAAAAAAACAAATTGAAACTGCTTGTCAGGAATTCACTTTAGCACAGTAAGTATTTTAATAAGTTTTTAATTGTTTGAATAATTTACAGTAATTTAAAAATAAAAAATATCAGAATTATTAAAAAGGATATTATATAAAATTTTATATGCATAATTTTATAACTGTAGCAATCTTTTTTAAAAAATATTTTAAAGTATATTTGAAAATACAATGGATTGCTATTTTGATAAATGCAGATTATCAATATAAAATAGATTAATTCATATATATTTTTACATTATTAATGTGGGCAATAATTAGCTTAATAAAATTTAAAATTTTAATTCATTGATAAAATTCTTGTATTTCATAAAACTTAATTTAAAAAGTAATTATTATATTGATCTATTTAATAATTACAGAAAGAAATATAAAACATTAGAAAAAGAATATGTAAATGCTAAAGTTGAATTTCTTCAGAAGTTAGAACAGAAAGAACAATTGCAAGAAAACCTGCATACTGTTATTCAACAGTATGAAGCTCACAGAGCTGTTAAGTTACACGAGCTTGAACAACGGCTTAGGAAATTTATTTTGAGTCGTGATGGAAAGATAAAGCAAGAAAAACAAGTAAGATTTTAGTTTTATTTGCAATAATTGTTAATTTTGGTATACAATAGACTTTGCTTAAATATTATAATCACAGATGTTATTCATTTCGAATCTTATCAAAACTAACAGGTTCCAAATATATATGTTACACATTAATAAAACTTCACTTATTATTATTAATTCAGTTGTTGTTATCTTTGGGTAAATACTGTAGACATTTTCAGCTCTTTTTGTGTTATCAACCTCAATATGAAACTGAGAAAAAAGTCATTATTAGTTACTGATATGTGTTTTAACCAGTGCTTGTTTTTTATTACTCTTTCTTCCTGCAAGTTCTTAAAGATAGTACAGAAAACAATTTTTTAAATCACATTAATGACATCCAAAAATACTATTTAGCTTTAATGTATGATCATTGTTGTCTAAAATGTAAAATATGTTGAATTACAAAGATTTGGTTTAATTTTATAGTCATGCATCTGAACTGATATTAGTAAATGTAGAAAATGAAATGTAAAATGCACAAATTTATCATAACTATAAATTTTTTTCATATTAGTGAAAAATTTAAAAGAAGTTAATGTTATACAGTGTTCAAGACTGCTGTTTGATATAAAAAAAAATTTAATAACTTTTTGTTCATTCAGTTATTCTTAGATATATTATGTACTCAAATATAAAATTTTATAATACAACTTTTTAAATAATCACATAGAAAATATATTTTATGTTATCAGTATAATATGTAATATCTTTTAGATATTATATGATTAATTCTGTAGGCTTAGTTACTGCTAGTAGTTTTAAAATCTTAAATCTGAATCTTCATTCTACTTTTAATAACATAATTAAGATTATTATTGAAAAATGATTCAAATGGCATAGTATACAAATGCAAAGGTGATTAAAATATATTAGCAGAAAATAATAATGATGACTTGGCTAGAGATTTAGCTTCAGTATCATTTAGAAACTTTTTCATGTAAATGTAAAGAAATTATCTGTAACAACTACAGAAATGTTATTAAATAATAGTGCCACTAATCTAAATGAATAGTGGATGGCAAAAATTTGAAAGCTGTTGCTACATTATTCAATATAGTTTTAACAATGATATTACCTGTTAAATTTGTTATAAGTAACTTTAGAAAATTTAGAAAATTAGATAGATAAAGCTAGCATTAATTTTGTTTATTTTATGTTATCCTTAATCATAAGATTATGTTTTAGACATTTTTAAAATACAAAATCAGACTATAAAATAATAATAACATTCACTAAGCTTTCCCTGAAAAAATAATTAATATTACTACTAATTTTAATAAAACTGTCAATAGCACAAAAATTATATAATTATGAATAACTCAAAATGTTTGATACTATCAATCAATATAATTGGAATATATGAGAAGTATTAAACATATTAGGATTTTTACAAATAATGACTAAATTGTTCAAACTATATCTTCTCTTTTGTTATTCCTTTTAAAGGTAACTTAATGATTCCTTCTATAACTACCGTATCTCTCTTGGGATATCTTAGGTAATACTTTACATAGTACTGCTTCATACATAGTTACATGAAAACCGTACATAAAATTATAAGTTAAAATACAGTGGTACCTCAGGATACGAATGTCCCAGCATACGAAATTTTCAGGATACGACATGAAATTCGAAGACAGTTTTGCTCCACGATACGAACAAAAACTCACCATACGACGTTACATTAGTTCGCTGCATCATTTTTTAATCATTTCTGTTCATCAGTCTCAGTCCATGTGTTTGCTTCGTCGTGGAAGGCAGTGGCGTAGCGTAGTGGGGCAGCAGGGGCGGCACTTTTAGGGGCGCGGCAAAATTTCATAATAAATAATAATAATATTTTGTAAAAATTTGAACCATTTCATTTCGTGCTTTTGTCGCACCTACGATTCGGACCGATTGAAATGAGCACGGAATTTTTCATTACTTATTCAGTGACAAAACTGAATTTTAGTATTTTAAATTGAGATACCTAAATAAGGGGGCGGCGAAATGTTCCTCCGCCCGGGCGGCTGACACCCACGCTATGCCACTGGTGGAAGGATCTCGTTCGATAAAGGAAATTTTGAGGTATTATCAGAAAGTGACTGATTTTATTGAAAAGAAGCATCCCGAAAAGATTCATACTAGCCGTATCTTGGAGTAATGACATTTGCCTAAGACATTTTAGAAACATTTTAAAAAGTAGGCAAAGTCAAACCTCTGTGGATAGATATTTTACCAAGCGACCTCTATCCAGTGAAAGTGCTGGTGGAAGTGAAGGAAAGAAAGCAAAAAGCAGTGAATAAAAATAACAACACTAATTTTTTTTATCTTTTCTAAGTTATTTTTAAGTTATTGTTACATTATGTTATGTAAGTTACGTTTTAGTATCATTTCCCTTCTCCCCCTCCTCCGCCACCAGTTTACACCTTCACCGTCGTCTATCCTCAAAAGTAAAGTGCAAATAAAACTACATTTTTTTAAAATCAGTTATTATTCTATTATGGTTGTTTTTACATTTACAACTACAAAATGCATTTTTCAGTGTTTTCCTTACTATAGTTATTTTTTTATGTACTACTTAGCTTTAATTTGAGTGTGTTTTTCGTGTTGGAACGAATTATTTGGTTTTACATGTAATAGTATGGGGAAAAATGATTCACCTTACGACATTTTCATGATACGATCTCAGTGTCGGAACGGATTAATTTCGTATCCTGAGGTACCACTGTATTTTAAGCAAATAAAAAATATTCTCATATACTTTCAAAAGAGTTCATATCTAATGTTTAAAGGAAATTAACTCTTCTATAAACTTAAACAAATCTTATAAAATTAGATATTATTGTATGAAAAATATAAATGAATATTTTAATGCAAAAGAAATTTTCTGATATTTCTTTTGTAAATAAATTATATATGTATATATTTTTTATAATTTGAGTTTACTTTCAGAATCTCTTGAATGAAAGAAATTTCAACAAGGTCAATAACATCCATGAAAATATTGATAAGAAACAGCTAAGTCAAAGTGATGATGGAAGTAATCACATCAAGAATGAGAATGATGCAAGTCCAAAAGAGCAAGTTTAATATAAAGATACATATTGCATCTTATTTGTTCCTGGTTTGTCTTTCAAAAATTAGGACATATGCCAATATGTCTTGTTTGATATCTGCTCTGAACAAATTGTTCAATTATTGATAAATTAATGTCCAAAGTTTGACTATGATGATGATGATGATTCATTAGTGAATAATGATGAATATTTTGTTTCATCTATTGGTAAATTCTCTAATTTTTTTAGTTTCAAATATATATACATATATATAAGATGTTCTCATTCAATAATCTAATTTTATTTTGTTAATTTATAATTAAGATTTCCACTGAAGCTATATTCAGATGCAGAATTAGTCTCAAAGTACTGGTAAAAATCAGCCAATCATTTTACTGTTTAATACTCATAGAAAGGGAAAATTGTTTTATTAACATCTGCATTAAGACATATCTATTTTTTAATATATCTATGTATTATTTGCCTTTAAGAATTTATCTTTATGAAACAGGGATTTACATTTTCATAAATATATATATATATTTTAAATGTAGTTATTGCTACATAGTTTTAAAATTTTACTGTTAGAATGAAATTGTTGCTTGTTTTATTTTTGAATTTTTCCCTCATATCTAAAACACTTTTTATATTTTTATTAACATGAGATTTTAAATAATCAAATTGGCCATTTTCTCACTTGTGAGTATAGACGAATAGATTTTTTTAATGATTTCTACGAATCTGCATTAAACCAATTCATATGCTAGTATGAAGGATAATTACATTTCTACATACATATATTTTTGTAGATTGAGTATTTGGAAATGTATTTTGTAGTGTAATTAAATTATGTAATTAGTTATATGCACATATTCACTGTTAAGGATAGTTTATTCCAGAACTAAATTATAATTTTAAACAATCTTAATATTTCAGTTGAATGATTTTATTGATTACATAATAAGTTTAATATTAGCGTAATCAAAGTAATTAAGATTAATTAAATTATTTGTCAACATTCTGTATATAAATAATTTGGTTCTGTTTCATACAAAAAATTTACTTAATTTGATAGGAACATTTATCTAATAATATGTTAACATATTTTCAATAATTTATACCGCACACTTAAACAATTATGTGAAGGTTGTGGCAGGCTTTATTATTAAATATTACTGGACTGGCCAACAGATCAGTCACAGATCTCTTGGCAATGTGTTTTCTATGATAGTTTACCAGTTAAAATGAATGAAATGTAGTTGATAACACACAAAAATACATTTTGTTATTATTTTACAAGTCTTAAAATTTGTTAATTTAATGTTTTATTCATCTTGCTTAGAATAGCTTCTCAGGACAATGATCGGGAACTAACTACTGCCATACACCAAAGTTAGTATTATTATTTTTGGTTTTTTAATATTTTGCAAATTGATATCAAAATTTTAAAGGTACTGCAGGGAATTAGATCATGTGAATGTTTCTTTCTTATCAGTATTGTCTGACCAACTTATCTGTGCACATTTTCAATTATTGATATCTAAATTTATTTTAAATGCATTTCGCTCATAACAGGATTGTTGGTTAATTAGTTGTGATGATTTTGAATTCATTAACACGAAACAGAAACATGTTTAATGAAATTCTAGTCATAAAGCAAGCTTATGTATTTTCAACAAATTATTATATGAAAAATATTCTAGTCAATAAATACTCTTACAATAAAATAGATTGTTCCAAAAAATATGATGTGTGTAAAATAAATATAGCTAAAATAATATCCAACTAACTTATTTTTACAAAATCTTATTTTAACTAAGGTCAACAATTCCATTTATATCACTCTTTGGAATAAAATGTCCTTAACAGTAAATTATTTATATGTTAACAATCACTATTTATTATAATGTTGTACATAAGTTATTTTATTTGAATTTTTAATTCTGACAAAGATTGCTGTTAGAAAATGAAGGTAACACATTTTTAATAAAATTATAAGAAATCTTTTAATCACAGATAATCCATTTTAAAATCCAAAAACTTACGTTAATCAAAAATATGTTTTTTACCACAGGAAAGTTATTTTTATTATGAGTTTATTATTCAAACCATGTATTATTATCTCATACTAATCATATATCACAAAAATATTTATTTTTTTTGAGTTATAATCTTTATTTGAATTAGTTGTTGTTGTATGTGTTGTTAATGATTTTTAATTATTTAAGCTATTGGGTATGAATTAAAATATTTCTTCCAATGATGTAAAATTATTTAAAATTTTATTATTGTTGATTTAGTGGCCTATAAATGTAACTAGATTTTACTGTGAAGGAGCAATGGCTTCCATCATTATCGTGATAAATATTTAATGCGATTTGGCCAATTATTTTCTTAAGAATATACATTATCTAGTCATTTAAAATGTAAATTTGATTTTATATATATATGTATATACATAAATGTGTATAAATATGCACTAGAAATACACAATTTATTGTCACCACATTGCACAGTGCCTTATTCTTTAACGGTATTTCGATTACCGTTTTGAACATACCATAAATATCTTTTAAGTACACCAAAATGTAGGAAAGTGTTAAATTTGTGCCATCAAATGCAAATTATATATAAATAAATATACGTATAATACACCGATATTTCTATTACTGCAATAACATTCAGACAGGAAGTAGTGTTAATTGCACAACTGTGATTTTTTTAGACTGGTCACTTAATTGTTTTAATTCTGATATGTGCCTTTTAAATGATCTTCATGTAACTTTGTTATTCTGTATCGATTTAAAAAATAAAAATATATTGCTTATGTTCACGAAACGTTTACGAGAAATTTTATTCTTAAATACAGTAAATTGTAAAAAATCTTACTTTAACAATCTAATTGATGGCATTTGAATATCCTAATTTTAAAATTTTGTATGTTTTTCAAGATGTTTATATATCCTTATAATGAAAGCACGAAGATGTTCGTTGACTTATTTTTCATATTATATCATTGTTGCATCTTACGACAGTTTCTCTTGTTGGTTAAATCTATGCCAAATTATAGGAAATCTTAGAAAATTGGGGCCACACAATAGGCAATTGGAGTGTGATTCAAACTAACTGGGTGATAGCTGCTGTCATTCATTGGGAACTCCACAAACTACAAGATGGTGCAGATGTGCTTTCATCTTCATTTCTGCGGACAATAGAAAAATGGTTTTTGTAGACGTTTTGTTTTGTCAATGTGCTGTTGTTGAATTCTTCTTAGTGAGAACTTTGCTGCTGCACAAATTCATCAGCATTTATGGAGATGCCTGCTTGGGTCTCAGTACAATGAAAAGGTGGGTGAAAGATTTTAGAGAAGGACCTACAAATGTTGCCGAAAAGCCTCAGAGTGGCCGCCACGAACAGCAACACAGATGTGGTTGATGAGCTTGTCGAGAGGCCTACTGTTACAGAAATTGTACGTCATTTGAATGTTGGACACAATGCCATACAGAAAATGATAGTCTCTTGGTTATCACAAGGTTTGTTCAAGGAAAATTCTGCAACTTCCTACAAACGACCATAAACACACATTTGACCACGTTCTGACTTACTGGTATGCCGTCAAACTGATGACAAGAATTTTCTGAACAGTATTATGATGGGAAACATGGCACAGTTCCACCATTTCAACCCAGAAACAAGCAGAGGATAGAATGGAAGCACAATAACTCACCTAGGCCAAAAAATCCAAGAGCAGTTCCTTCATCTGGAAAAATGGGCACCATGTTCTGGGATGCAGAGGGATGCATGTTGGTCGATTTTCTTCCAAGACCATCAATACTTCTTGGTACGTGCAGACATTGCAGAAACTGCAACGAGCACTACATGACAGACATCCATACACTATCATCATTTTGCAACAAGACAATGCTTGTCCTCATACAGATGGTCATACAAAATGTAATTGAAATGATGGCTAAGTGTTGCTTCCACATCTTCCCTACAGCCCACCCTAGCACTGTCAGACTCACTTGTTCACTCCATTGAAAGACACAATGAAAGATACAAAGTTTGATGATGATGACCGAGTCCTAGGTGAGGTTTGCAGGTGCTGGAACAGACTTCTACAGGAGTAGGATTTTGAAGCTGCCAGTACAATGACAGAAATGTGTCCATCGTTCTAGCGGATGTGTGGAAAAGTAGTGATATGTTCCAATGTGTACTTACCACAAGCACTATTAAACAAAGTTGTTATTGAATTCATGCAATATCACTTGGCTCACAACTTTTGGTACATGCCACATACATTTGTGGTTATTAATATGAAGATTACTTCTCTCAAAACTTTAATCCCAGAAAAACAGCGTAATTTGATACAAGCAAAATATAACAGAATATGAATAATTTTTCATCTAAAAATTGTAATAAAAACATGCAAGTACATGTCCCAGTTCACTACAAGCGTTGTATTGTATATCAGGCGACGAGCCAGAACAATAGACAGACCCAAGCATCACAAAGTTGATTGGTCCAAGCGTTGCCTGAACTCTTATTCCTCGACAAGTTTGACAAGCCCTGTTCAAAGGGGTCAGATTTCAAAAAATTCCTCTAGGACTAGTAGAACATCCGGGTAACAAAGGAGCAAATCTCGAACGTTCCAAAATTTCCACAAGTGGCACGAGCAGACAGTGCCCTGAATAAAAGATAATTTCCTTGTTCTATCGTACATATGGTCAAATGGCATTTTGGCCAATATGATGTTGGGAAGACGCAAGAGTTGGCCCGGCCGAGACTCCGGAGGCCGGCGCACCACCAAGGCAGCTTCCAGGCGGAACACGGATGGCGAAGGTCACCACGGGCTCGGGTGTCTCGGATACAGGTCGGTCGAGTGCCGTAAAGGCCATAAACGAGACGAGCTCGGCGAGGTTTTGGCTCGGATCGGCAGAAAAGACCGTCTCTCAACAAGGTAAATTCCTCAAGACATGAAAGGTCGTGTGCCTGCAAAATTCTCAAAACCAAAGCATATATTGTAAGGGGGCCAATTGTAAGGTTTAGTTTTACAAANTATTTGACCAAAATGGTTGATATATAATTCAATAAAATATTTATTTATTATAAAAATATTGTGGTTTTTTCCACAGAAAAAAAACGAAATTACTTTCTGAACAACCCAATATTATCTTGAAGACATTTTAAGTGTAAAATGAGCAAAAATTATTGTGATATTGTCACAATGCCATGCTGCAATTTTTAATCATATTTTTAATTAATTTAATTTAAAATATATGATCTGAATCCCAGATTATTAGTGTCTTGCCTGTATACATCATACTTTTCCTGACAACAACATTCATGCTGATTGTCTATGTAACTCTGTTCCGGGGAAAGTTTTGAATTGAAATTATGTGACTTCTGGTCCATACCAAAAGTTCATAAACAGTTAATTGGGGCCTTCTGATCTTAAGCTTTTCATATCTGGTCTCGACTTTCATCTATCTAAAATCATTCTTGAGAGTAAGGAAGGCAGACAGATGGATGACAGTGGAAATTTATAGGTTTACAATTTTTTCAAATTGCAACCCAAAAAGGAATTTAAATTAAACACTTAGTACTAGAAAAACTTGTTTGAGTGGGTATGACATTGAGCAGTATAGCCAAAGACATCAATTAGTGGAGAATAACATCATGTGGTCTACTTGCAATGACTGTTGATTGTTGTTTTGAATGATGAATGCAAGATGCATCTCTATTTTGTAAAAAATAGAGAAGTAAAAATTGGGTTTAAAAAAATGCATCTTAGAATTGTGGAAACAATGTATTACAATTTAGGAATAGCCAAACTTTTGCATTATTGAAAATTAATTTTAAAATTTTTCAGTTTTAGTATGGATTCAAGTAAATGTACTACAGCAGAAAGTACGCCAGTAAAGAGAGATGACACAAAAGGTCAGAAAATGCAACATGGGATGATGGCTTTAATACGTGTCAATCCATCTCAACAGACTTATGAGATAATTGAATGTGAAGATGAAAAGAAAAAATGTACTTTATCAGAATGCAGTGCCTCTCCTGTTGAAAGTTTAATTGAAGATGAACAAAATATGCAAAATCAGATGTTAACTGTTAGGTAATTGTTTGATACATATATATTTAGATTTAATTTCTTTAAAGAAACCAAAAATATTTTTTAAAATTTAGTGGTGAAGATTCAGAATGTGAACAGATATGGGAAATTCAAGATGAACTGAATACACTTGATAGTTTTTTTAGAGCACATGTTACTGCTTTAAAAAAACAAATTGAAACTGCTTGTCAGGAATTCACTTTAGCACAGTAAGTATTTTAATAAGTTTTTAATTGTTTGAATAATTTACAGTAATTTAAAAATAAAAAATATCAGAAATATACAAGAAATTTGTCTGTCATTTTTTTCGGTCGTTTCAACACAGTTCAGAATGAGTAACACCGTTACTTCCTCACATATGTCAAGAAAATATAAAATAGAACGATACAATCGCTATAAAAGACGAAATTCAAATATTCCTTCAAAAATGTTTAAAAAAACAAAAGATAGCTGAACCACCATCTAATCATTCCACAGAGGAAAGCACCGAGGAACCAGCATATCACTTGCAAAATAATGCAACTGAAAACCCATTCTATATTTATCAATAATATATTAGAAAAAAAATGCTAGTGACATCCAAACAATAGTGAATCTAGGGAAAAAAGTGTTTAATGCCCGAACAGAATATTACAACTGTTATTTATCAAGATCAATCTCTTAATATTTTACAGTGAATTACTAAATAAAGAAATGAAAATTATTTTGGACTGTGGCAGTACAAAGCATAAATACGTTATATATATACATACGCAACCCCTACCGCTCTGGAGGACTCGGGTTCGAATCCGAACGGGTCGAAAAATCCCCAGGACTTTTTCGTAAGGTGGTCCGTTCGGATATGTCGGGCCCCGTCCCTCACCACTCAGCAGCCCCATTACGAACCCATAATGCAAGCCCATTATGGGCTTGCAAAAAGAGGCCCTCTTAGTGCTCACAGGGCGAAGAGTTAAAAAACCCCTGAACTAAAGTATGGAATATTTTGTAATTGTTGTGGTAAAATTCTTATCTTAAAATAATCCAATTCACAAAAATATATCCAACTTTTAACAATTAGAGAATATGATAGATATATTAAAGAATTTACACACCAAACGTAAAGATATTTGCATAAATTACAGTTACNTACAACTACAAAATGCATTTTTCAGTGTTTTCCTTACTATAGTTATTTTTTTATGTACTACTTAGCTTTAATTTGAGTGTTTTTTTCGTGTTGGAACGAATTATTTGGTTTTACATGTAATAGTATGGGGAAAAATGATTCACCTTACGACATTTTCATGATACGATCTCAGTGTCGGAACGGATTAATTTCGTATCCTGAGGTACCACTGTATTTTAAGCAAATAAAAAATATTCTCATATACTTTCAAAAGAGTTCATATCTAATGTTTAAAGGAAATTAACTCTTCTATAAACTTAAACAAATCTTATAAAATTAGATATTATTGTATGAAAAATATAAATGAATATTTTAATGCAAAAGAAATTTTCTGATATTTCTTTTGTAAATAAATTATATATGTATATATTTTTTATAATTTGAGTTTACTTTCAGAATCTCTTGAATGAAAGAAATTTCAACAAGGTCAATAACATCCATGAAAATATTGATAAGAAACAGCTAAGTCAAAGTGATGATGGAAGTAATCACATCAAGAATGAGAATGATGCAAGTCCAAAAGAGCAAGTTTAATATAAAGATACATATTGCATCTTATTTGTTCCTGGTTTGTCTTTCAAAAATTAGGACATATGCCAATATGTCTTGTTTGATATCTGCTCTGAACAAATTGTTCAATTATTGATAAATTAATGTCCAAAGTTTGACTATGATGATGATGATGATTCATTAGTGAATAATGATGAATATTTTGTTTCATCTATTGGTAAATTCTCTAATTTTTTTAGTTTCAAATATATATACATATATATAAGATGTTCTCATTCAATAATCTAATTTTATTTTGTTAATTTATAATTAAGATTTCCACTGAAGCTATATTCAGATGCAGAATTAGTCTCAAAGTACTGGTAAAAATCAGCCAATCATTTTACTGTTTAATACTCATAGAAAGGGAAAATTGTTTTATTAACATCTGCATTAAGACATATCTATTTTTTAATATATCTATGTATTATTTGCCTTTAAGAATTTATCTTTATGAAACAGGGATTTACATTTTCATAAATATATATATATATTTTAAATGTAGTTATTGCTACATAGTTTTAAAATTTTACTGTTAGAATGAAATTGTTGCTTGTTTTATTTTTGAATTTTTCCCTCATATCTAAAACACTTTTTATATTTTTATTAACATGAGATTTTAAATAATCAAATTGGCCATTTTCTCACTTGTGAGTATAGACGAATAGATTTTTTTAATGATTTCTACGAATCTGCATTAAACCAATTCATATGCTAGTATGAAGGATAATTACATTTCTACATACATATATTTTTGTAGATTGAGTATTTGGAAATGTATTTTGTAGTGTAATTAAATTATGTAATTAGTTATATGCACATATTCACTGTTAAGGATAGTTTATTCCAGAACTAAATTATAATTTTAAACAATCTTAATATTTCAGTTGAATGATTTTATTGATTACATAATAAGTTTAATATTAGCGTAATCAAAGTAATTAAGATTAATTAAATTATTTGTCAACATTCTGTATCTAAATAATTTGGTTCTGTTTCATACAAAAAATTTACTTAATTTGATAGGAACATTTATCTAATAATATGTTAACATATTTTCAATAATTTATACCGCACACTTAAACAATTATGTGAAGGTTGTGGCAGGCTTTATTATTAAATATTACTGGACTGGCCAACAGATCAGTCACAGATCTCTTGGCAATGTGTTTTCTATGATAGTTTACCAGTTAAAATGAATGAAATGTAGTTGATAACACACAAAAATACATTTTGTTATTATTTTACAAGTCTTAAAATTTGTTAATTTAATGTTTTATTCATCTTGCTTAGAATAGCTTCTCAGGACAATGATCGGGAACTAACTACTGCCATACACCAAAGTTAGTATTATTATTTTTGGTTTTTTAATATTTTGCAAATTGATATCAAAATTTTAAAGGTACTGCAGGGAATTAGATCATGTGAATGTTTCTTTCTTATCAGTATTGTCTGACCAACTTATCTGTGCACATTTTCAATTATTGATATCTAAATTTATTTTAAATGCATTTCGCTCATAACAGGATTGTTGGTTAATTAGTTGTGATGATTTTGAATTCATTAACACGAAACAGAAACATGTTTAATGAAATTCTAGTCATAAAGCAAGCTTATGTATTTTCAACAAATTATTATATGAAAAATATTCTAGTCAATAAATACTCTTACAATAAAATAGATTGTTCCAAAAAATATGATGTGTGTAAAATAAATATAGCTAAAATAATATCCAACTAACTTATTTTTACAAAATCTTATTTTAACTAAGGTCAACAATTCCATTTATATCACTCTTTGGAATAAAATGTCCTTAACAGTAAATTATTTATATGTTAACAATCACTATTTATTATAATGTTGTACATAAGTTATTTTATTTGAATTTTTAATTCTGACAAAGATTGCTGTTAGAAAATGAAGGTAACACATTTTTAATAAAATTATAAGAAATCTTTTAATCACAGATAATCCATTTTAAAATCCAAAAACTTACGTTAATCAAAAATATGTTTTTTACCACAGGAAAGTTATTTTTATTATGAGTTTATTATTCAAACCATGTATTATTATCTCATACTAATCATATATCACAAAAATATTTATTTTTTTTGAGTTATAATCTTTATTTGAATTAGTTGTTGTTGTATGTGTTGTTAATGATTTTTAATTATTTAAGCTATTGGGTATGAATTAAAATATTTCTTCCAATGATGTAAAATTATTTAAAATTTTATTATTGTTGATTTAGTGGCCTATAAATGTAACTAGATTTTACTGTGAAGGAGCAATGGCTTCCATCATTATCGTGATAAATATTTAATGCGATTTGGCCAATTATTTTCTTAAGAATATACATTATCTAGTCATTTAAAATGTAAATTTGATTTTATATATATATGTATATACATAAATGTGTATAAATATGCACTAGAAATACACAATTTATTGTCACCACATTGCACAGTGCCTTATTCTTTAACGGTATTTCGATTACCGTTTTGAACATACCATAAATATCTTTTAAGTACACCAAAATGTAGGAAAGTGTTAAATTTGTGCCATCAAATGCAAATTATATATAAATAAATATACGTATAATACACCGATATTTCTATTACTGCAATAACATTCAGACAGGAAGTAGTGTTAATTGCACAACTGTGATTTTTTTAGACTGGTCACTTAATTGTTTTAATTCTGATATGTGCCTTTTAAATGATCTTCATGTAACTTTGTTATTCTGTATCGATTTAAAAAATAAAAATATATTGCTTATGTTCACGAAATGTTTACGAGAAATTTTATTCTTAAATACAGTAAATTGTAAAAAATCTTACTTTAACAATCTAATTGATGGCATTTGAATATCCTAATTTTAAAATTTTGTATGTTTTTCAAGATGTTTATATATCCTTATAATGAAAGCACGAAGATGTTCGTTGACTTATTTTTCATATTATATCATTGTTGCATCTTACGACAGTTTCTCTTGTTGGTTAAATCTATGCCAAATTATAGGAAATCTTAGAAAATTGGGGCCACACAATAGGCAATTGGAGTGTGATTCAAACTAACTGGGTGATAGCTGCTGTCATTCATTGGGAACTCCACAAACTACAAGATGGTGCAGATGTGCTTTCATCTTCATTTCTGCGGACAATAGAAAAATGGTTTTTGTAGACGTTTTGTTTTGTCAATGTGCTGTTGTTGAATTCTTCTTAGTGAGAACTTTGCTGCTGCACAAATTCATCAGCATTTATGGAGATGCCTGCTTGGGTCTCAGTACAATGAAAAGGTGGGTGAAAGATTTTAGAGAAGGACCTACAAATGTTGCCGAAAAGCCTCAGAGTGGCCGCCACGAACAGCAACACATATGTGGTTGATGAGCTTGTCGAGAGGCCTACTGTTACAGAAATTCTACGTCATTTGAATGTTGGACACAATGCCATACAGAAAATGATAGTCTCTTGGTTATCACAAGGTTTGTTCAAGGAAAATTCTGCAACTTCCTACAAACGACCATAAACACACATTTGACCACGTTCTGACTTACTGGTATGCCGTCAAACTGATGACAAGAATTTTCTGAACAGTATTATGATGGGAAACATGGCACAGTTCCACCATTTCAACCCAGAAACAAGCAGAGGATAGAATGGAAGCACAATAACTCACCTAGGCCAAAAAATCCAAGAGCAGTTCCTTCATCTGGAAAAATGGGCACCATGTTCTGGGATGCAGAGGGATGCATGTTGGTCGATTTTCTTCCAAGACCATCAATACTTCTTGGTACGTGCAGACATTGCAGAAACTGCAACGAGCACTACATGACAGACATCCATACACTATCATCATTTTGCAACAAGACAATGCTTGTCCTCATACAGATGGTCATACAAAATGTAATTGAAATGATGGCTAAGTGTTGCTTCCACATCTTCCCTACAGCCCACCCTAGCACTGTCAGACTCACTTGTTCACTCCATTGAAAGACACAATGAAAGATACAAAGTTTGATGATGATGACCGAGTCCTAGGTGAGGTTTGCAGGTGCTGGAACAGACTTCTAAAGGAGTAGGATTTTGAAGCTGCCAGTACAATGACAGAAATGTGTCCATCGTTCTAGCGGATGTGTGGAAAAGTAGTGATATGTTCCAATGTGTACTTACCACAAGCACTATTAAACAAAGTTGTTATTGAATTCATGCAATATCACTTGGCTCACAACTTTTGGTACATGCCACATACATTTGTGGTTATTAATATGAAGATTACTTCTCTCAAAACTTTAATCCCAGAAAAACAGCGTAATTTGATACAAGCAAAATATAACAGAATATGAATAATTTTTCATCTAAAAATTGTAATAAAAACATGCAAGTACATGTCCCAGTTCACTACAAGCGTTGTATTGTATATCAGGCGACGAGCCAGAACAATAGACAGACCCAAGCATCACAAAGTTGATTGGTCCAAGCGTTGCCTGAACTCTTATTCCTCGACAAGTTTGACAAGCCCCGTTCAAAGGGGTCAGATTTCAAAAAATTCCTCTAGGACTAGTAGAACATCTGGGTAACAAAGAAGCAAATCTCGAACATTCCAACATTTCCACAAGTGGCACGAGCAGACAGTGCCCTGAATAAAAGATAATTTCCTTGTTCTATCATACATATGGTCAAATGGCATTTTGGCCAATATGACGTTGGGAAGACGCAAGAGTTGGCCCGGCCGAGACTACGGAGGCCGGCGCACCACCAAGGCAGCTTCCAGGCGGAACACGGATGGCAAAGGTCACCACGGGCTCGGGTGTCTCGGATACAGGTCGGTCGAGTGCCGTAAAGGCCATAGACGAGATGAGCCCGGTGAGGTTTTGGCTCGGATCGGCAGAAAAGACCGTCTCTCAACAAGGTAAATTCCTCAAGACATGAAAGGTCGTGTGCCTGCAAAATTCTCAAAACCAAAGCATATATTGTAAGGGGGCCAATTGTAAGGTTTAGTTTTACAAAAAAAAAGTGTATAATTTAGTGTTACATTGTCACAATGTGGGCTGCAATTTTTAATCATCATTTTAATTTAAAATATACGAACTTCCGGTCTAGACCGGAAGTCGCGTGATTTAGTTAGTTAGATTTCCGACCCCCAAGTTTTTCATATCCAGTCTCGAAGACAGACAGACGGCAGTGGGAAGGCATAAGTTTTCAATTTTCAAATAACAGCCCAATTAAGTTAAATAATAGAGGTGAAGGTGGTATTATGGAACACTGCGGGTATTACGGAACCACCCCATTTCGAACTGATAATAAAGGCGAACTGTAGCGGAATGTGGCTGAACTGAACTAGGCAGACATCCATAGCAAGGGGAAAACCCGTTTTACTTCAGTTAAACGGTTGT